TTCTCCTATTCTCAGCTTCTTCAAATCTTGATCCTCCCTGAGTCAATATAATGAGAGATTTCCTACCTGGTAAATCTGCCAGCCCTCTCCTCATTGGTCAGGCTGTCAGCCTATCTCCCAGATTCCTTGGCATCTCCAAACTGCCCCTCTCCCCTTTTAGCTGCACAGAGTGGAATCTCAGCTGGGCAAAAGCTGCAAGGAGAAAAGTTCCTACTTCTCCCTTCTTTCTTTTTCCCATCATGGTCAGACACTCAGTTTTTCTGTTGAGGCATGGAAACTCGTTAATAAATCCTATTTCTTCTTGTTCTTTGGGAAATTTGGCTTCTGTCCCTTCTTACTCCAATAGGGATTTTTCTACTCTCACATGTATGCTGTGCCCAAAATGGACTCCACTGTCAGCTCTGGAAGATTTCAGCCATGGCTAACTTAAGATGTAGACTTTGCACAGATTCATTTTGTGCACCGATTGTACTTCTTATTGGACCAAGAGGCCTTACTCAGTCAGTCATGCCTTGACCACTTCCTGACTAGATTACTGCAACATGGTCTACATGGGGCTGCCCATGAAGACCAACTAGAAATTACAACTGGTGCAGAATACAGCTCAGGCAGTTCTGGGTACTCCAGGTTTTACCCATGTTACCCCACTGTTGTGTGAGCAGCACTGGCTTCCAGTTTCTTTCTGGGTGAGATTCAAGATGCTGATTATCATGTTTCAAGCCCTGAATGGCACAGGGCCAGGTTATTTACAGAATTGCTTCTCCCTGTGGTTAGCTCCCTGTTCTACTAGTTCTTATAGAGTGGACATGCTCCAGGGACCTTCCCTCAAATGTTGCCATCTAAAGGGACCTGGGCAGCATGACTCCTTGGTAGCTGCCCCTGCCCTTTGGAATACTCTTCCCTCTGAGATCCAGAAGGCCCCTACCTTCTTAGCCTTCCAAAAAGCTTTGAAAAACTGGCTTTTCCCACAAGCATTGGGGCAGGGTGAGGTTGGAGGCCAGAGAGGTTCTTTATGGATGTGTGGGGATTCGTTGTGGTTTGGAGTGCTGGGAGTTACTGTGTTGGTTTTTATGTTTAGTTGTTTTTTACTGTTTTTATTGCTTTTACTGTTGTTTGTGAGCCCCCCAGGGTTATACTGCATAAGATGGGTAGCAATCTAAATCAAATCAATCAATAAAACCAAATCACATAGACAGGTTGTATGTTCTCCGGTGCTAAGATCTTCAAGAAGAGCTTCGTTGAGATGCTGTAGCTATGCATCCTCTGCACTGATCAAAGTTTAAACTCTGCAATCTATTAAACTATATTAACCCCTTGCAACCATTTTCAGGCCCCGGATACACTTGGATTTGGGTGGCATATCATGGACTATACTCTGAAAATGAGGGGAAGAGGAAGAAAAGACAACTTGAAATAATTTAAATTAATTCAACTCCATAAATGCACTCCATATGCTTCATCAACTACCATTTAAGTCAAATCAACAATCACACATTGGTAGCAAGCCAATGTTCAAGTTAATCTGGAATGTGTAAGAGGCTATCAGGTTTTGGATCTCTAATTTACACATTGTCCTTCCAACATCTTTCCTGCAAGCTTTCTCAGAGCATCTTTGACATCCCTATTTCTCAGGCTGTATATGAGGGGATTGAGTAAAGGGGGCAGGACCGTATACAAGAGAGAAAAGATCTTATTGAAATCTCTCACTGCCTCAGTCTTTGGTATGAGATATACAATAACAATGGCTCCATAGAAAATAGAGACAACTATCAAGTGAGAAGAGCAAGTAGAAAAAGCTTTTTGTCTCCCTGTGGTAGATAGGATTTTCAGGATGGCAACAATAATGTAGATATAGGAGATCAACGTTGAAATAAAAGGAGGGAAAGTGATGATAAAAACCACAGTGAAAGTCACAAGTTTTACCAGAAATATATCACTGCAGGAGAGTTTTAACAATGGGAGAGCCTCGCAAAAGAAATGGTCAATTTCATTTTGTCCACAGAACCGCAGTTGTAAAATCAGGCCCAAATACAGAGAGATGACGACAATACTATTGAGCCATGAGCCTGCTGCTAACTGTATGCAGACCTTGTTGTTCATAAGAGTTGCATAATGTAAAGGCTTGCAAACAGCTAAGAAACGGTCATAAGACATTACCGAGAGGAGATAACATTCTGTACAAACCAGGAATGATCCAAAATAAAATTGTGTGATGCATCCTTTAACAGAGATGGTTTTGTCTCCAGTCATGAGAGCAGCTAGCATCCTGGGAAGAATAGTTGAACTGTATATCATCTCCAAGCAGGCTAGGTTTCCCAAGAAGAAGTACATTGGGATGTGCAGGCATTGATCAATAACAATTAGAAGAATAGTGAGGAAATTGGCCACCATAGTTAAAATGAAGATTGTGAAAAACACAAGGAACAGGAAGATCTGCAGATGATGAAGCTCCCCAAATCCCAGAAGTATAAACTCAGTAATTTCAGTTTGATTCTTCTGTAATGCATTCATTATACCATTTATAAAAAGTACAGAGATAATATTTGAAAGAGCTGCTATAATATTGCACACATTTCCCAGAACATACATTAATAGTATGTGATGATCAGTCCCTGTCATGAAAGAGGCAAGGTTGCTGGCATTTAGAATTATAGTGTAGATCTCTAGAAATATTTGGAAAAGAAATATATGCAGAAGGTGAAACTTCCAAAATCCCAAACCGGAAAACTCTGTAATTATATTTTGCCTCCTGTGCATTATCTTTCTCACAATATAAATTTGAAAAGCAATTTGAAAAACAATTTGAACGTGAAGCATATAAATTTGGCCATGCATATACAATTACACATAGAATCTACAATCTTAGATTAAATGAATCTTTTCATGCAATTTTCTCAAAACTGGGAGTATCCAGATGTGCTAAATATCAAGTCCTGTAATCCTCAGCCAGCCTGGAGAACCACTTGATAGGCATCTAATTATTTTCACGTCTCTTGGGGAAAGCTGATTTAACTTAATATATTAAAACAAACAAACAAAAACTGTAATTACTATTTCAAAGTCTCTGAGAAATATTGCATATTTTATAAAAGACTTTTTTTCCGTCTCACATATTTTCACAATTAACTTATTGCAAATAAATTTGAATAAAGTATGGCTATTAAAAAACACTTTCTTTTAATGCAGGAGATTGATCTAGCTGTGCACCACAAAGCATTTTAAATTAAAGCACTCAGCTAACATCCATATCATGAGTTGAATGCAAATATGAATCCAAATCTATTTATCCAGAAATAGATGGATTCATAGATGTAGACTTTCCCACTCTCTCTTTTAGTCCTTATCCGCCCCCAACCCCTCATGCTGTATAGAAATCTAAAAAGTTATGACATTGGGAGAACTTCCCCTTCCCCTTCAGCTATCAGAATTTTAGTCTGTTTTGATTTCCCTTTGACTTTTTTCAACCTCATTCCTTCATTACAAAGGAACACTGAAATTCTTATCAATATTACATTACACATCAATAAAATAGGATATTTTCTAGTTTCATAGACAGCTTCTTTCACAACTAGCAAAGTTATTGTTTAGACTTACCAAACATCAGACTTGCATACTCATTTCACTTATGTATTCTAAAGATTTAACACATTCAGAATAGAGTGACCCTGTTATGAAGCCAGAAGTGGTATTCACATGCACATAAATTAATGATTTACCTCTTTTATCTTGCTGGCTTGGGTTATCTCACAGCTATGCATTAAAAACATTGCATTTCAGATCTCTTTAATAACCAAAGTTGACCCCTAAGAGGATAGAAAGAGTACACATAAATTGTGTGCAGGGAAAAGGTTAGGAAGATAATTACTTAATAGAAAAAAGGCCAGAAGGTATAATTGTGTGCTTTCTTTTCTTTTCTTTTCTTTTCTTTTCTTTTCTTTTCTTTTCTTTTCTTTTCTTTTCTTATTTACTTCCTTTTTCTCTTTATCTGTCTTTATCTTTCTGACTTTTTTGTATATTTTTACTATACGATAGATAGATAGATAGATAGATAGATAGATTAGATAGATAGATAGATAGATAGATAGATAGATAGATAGATAGATAGATAGATAGAGTGGCAAGAGTAAGCAATGAAAATACAGTAGCCATCATCTTCCAAGAAAAATGTTGTAAAAATTAGCTATAATTATATTACATTAATGGGTAAGATATAAGGAATATAAAACATCTATACACCAAACAGCAGATGTGTAACAAAGATACATTTGAGAAATTTCCTCTGATTCAAGAATGGATAATTTTGGATTATGTTTGGTAATTAAAATTTAATTACTTTCAGTAATTAAAATTTATCTTGCACAACATGCATGTCAATAAATATCTTAAGCAATACAATAAATGATGCGTTTCTCTTTTTACAATAATGAGTAAAATTATTTGTTTATGTTAGAGATGAAGAAAGCAGAATTAGCCTCAACAAGATCCCTGGGTCCTGACTACATTTCACTCCTTCATGAGGAAGAAATCCAGGGACAAATAAACAAATAAATAATAAATCTGACTAATTTACTTAGGTGTGTAAATGAAGTCAGAACAAACATTATGACATGGACCATCATTTTCTGCTGTTTTACAGCTAAATCAAAACCATAATTCAGCAAGCTTAATGAAAAAAAAATATTATGTAATAGAGCCATCCATGTAAGGATAGACTCACTTACTACATCCTGTACACCCAACAATAATTCAGCTTCTTTTCTGTTCTCTTCAGCTTGTATGAGATCAGAGGTTTTATTAAAGAAATCTCCCTTTGGATGTTATCAGAAAAAAATGTCTCAGGAGATTTTGAATAATGACTGAAGTGGGAATATTCAACTCTGTTGATAGTTGCAACAGCATCAAAATTACATCTGAATGTGAAATATTGTGATAATTGCAGAAATCCTTATTCAAGATATCATTTCATTATTAGCCTATTTTATAATCAGATTATTGGTTGGAAATAATGAGGGAGAAATTGCCTTCCTACTTTGCATACAGGTTTTTGGAGAGTTCTCACTGAAAAAAATAGGATGCCAGAGTAGATGTATCACTACTCTGATTTATTCAAGATTTTCTAATTTTTATGTTATTAAGATAGATCTAATACCACTGTTCAAAAAGTAAAAATATAAATGCAGTTCATAATAGTCTCAGAGCTATTGTTGGATGAGCTCTTTGTCATGATCAAAGATGAATGAGCTCTTTGTTATCTCCTGGTCCAAATAAAATTGCCACTCAGGAACACTACAAGTGGTATGGAACAATTCAGACGGTCACTTTGTACTGTTTATAGCATAGCCTCCTGTAGACAGAGAACTGGGGAGCTGACTAGCAAGTAACAGAAAATAAACCTGGACTCTCCACAGGTGTAGAGAACCTGATGAAGGTTATTCTCCCCAATCCCTTGAGCTTTCAAGAACAGGGTTTGAAAATAATAATAATAATAATAATAATAATAATAATAATAATAATA